CGTAATGAGCGCCGTCAGGGTGCTGGTGATGGTGTTGCTGTTGGTGGTGGTGCAAAGCCATCTCCTGCATCTGGGATGAGAGAAGAACACCAGCTTTACTATCTTCTCCTCTACTCAGAGTTATAGGATGTTCCCAATCAGCCAAATATTTAGAGGTGGAGATGACATTTTTAAATTGGAGAAAATATGCACTGCATTAAATGTGAGCAATAAAAAAAGTGCTACAAAAACATTGACCAAAAAAAAAAAAAAAAAACCTCTTCAGGTCTCATTGTTGTCAAGGGTAGGGGTAGGACTGCATTTCTATCCACTGTTATTTCTCAGAAAACGTAATTGCTACTTTCACACCAGATCTTTACCTTACAAGCGGTTCTATAATAAATCTTTTATGTGCTTTCTCACAGTTTTGATTAGCAATTTTTCTGTTTTGTTGAGCAGCGTGACTCCAGAACAAATAACCAAACTGTAAGTGCTTACAGAACGAATAAAGAATGATCCATAAATGATCAAAATAAATAACTGTTCTTAAAAAAAAGAAAAGAAAAGAAAAGAAACCCCCAAATATAACAGTTTCAGACAGACCAGACTATGATCATACACGCTCGTTAGCTCTGTAGCTTAAACTAGATCAAAACAGATTTCAGATTATTTTTGTCTTTATTAGCTTCACTCTTTTTTTTTTTTGTTTGTATTTTTTTTCATAGTCAGCTTCCATGCAAGGTAAGTGATGAAGTAATTGTCCATGCGGTAGTATTGGCATGTTTTCTGTCTGCCATGGTAACAAAATATCTCATGAATTACTAAAGAGATTTTTAAAGAAACCCTTAAAATGTAAATATTGGATGTGCAACTGGTTATCTTTTGGAGTCAGCAGATGCCAAGATGGCTGCCACAACCAATGACCTTGATCATATATCTATCACTCAGTCAGTTTTATATATAATGACCTAAGTACTTGTTTTACTTTGAGATTCATCCATAACTAATAAACCAAGAACTACAGATTGTACAAGAGCTTTGTTAAAACTTATTAACTGTTGGAGTCAACCATTTGTCTGTTAACAAAATACTTCATGAACCAATAAACTTTCAGAAAGTAATCATTACATGTAGATGTTCGACTCGTTAAAAAGGTTGTAGTTGAAATCAGCCCAGTTTAAGATGGATGACACTGCTAATTAACCTTTAAATATTATTATAACTCTGATTTACAGATATTAATCTAATTTAAGTTGTGATAGTAGTTGAGAGTCTTTCCGACAACATACTTTGAGTGCTGATATTGCATGACATTATCGTGCATAATTTGCTCATAATTTTATATTAATATTTGACTTTGTCTGCTATTAATCAACACAAAATAAGTTTTATAATTTGAATGAAAGCTGGCAGGTAATATGCATCTGTTTATATGTGTATTCAAAATATATTTTTCTTTTGGTTATATTGTAAAGTCTTTGTCACATTGTGATTATTTTTTAGTCTTTTATCAAAAGTCACATTTCAGCATCATTCAGTAAAGTCCAACACCTCACAAGAGAATTTTGATCATTTGCGTCGTGAGTTTGTGCATTGAAAACACCCACGGTGAAAGCTGTCAGAAACATTTCGTGAGGATTCAGTTTCCGTCACTTTACAAGCTTAGACCAAAAGTCAAGAAATGAGTCTTCCCAAACTAAAGCCAGAATCCCTGGCAACATGTTGCTTTGGAGGAAAGTTCACAGATTCTGAATCAAGCTGTACCACCAGTCATACAGCTTGTAAGATTTGTGATCATGAAAGTTTTTTTTTTTTTAAACATAGCTGATGAGGAGCAGTGATGTTATCAGACTGTCTCCAGTATTGGAGGAAAGCGTGCTGACACAATGTGGACATGTACAGGATTTACTGTTTGCTCTTCATCAACTCTATATTGTTATGGGTTATATCTAATCAGTTTTATTCATGTATGATAGGGCAGCTGTTGTCCAGCTGGATTTCGTACGGTTCATGAAAAGTCGATAATAAAGCTCAAACTCTGCACCAGTGAGTTATTCTGAGTCCTTCTACTAACTTTCCTTCCTTCTAACTTTACTAACCTAACCACTGAACACAACCTGAACAGTTACAAGCTGCTGGTTTCAATCCAAAAGAGCCGTTGCATGCCAAAAATAAAGAAACATGTTTGCCTTTCTAACCTCATTATAGACTTTGTTCATGAGCGGTTGACAAACTGTCAGTGATCATATATTGATGCAAGAAAGAAGTGGATACAATCGCTAGCTGCTTTTCAGTGACACATCAGAACGGTAAATGGACTGTACTTGTATAGCACCTTTCTATGTTATCAAGACATTCAAAGCACTTTACAGTACAATCTGTGCCCTCATTTACCCATTCATATAGCACTCTACCACATCTCTACTAAACTAATCTGAATCTGTAGGGATTAATCAGTGCTTTATCACATTCATACACTGATGGGACGCACATCGGAGGCAATGAGGGGTTCAGTGCCTTGCCCAGGGACAGTTGGTGAAGTCGAACCCCCAACTCTCGCATTGAGGACGACTGTTCTAACCACTCATCCACAGCACTTTGTATAAAGTAGAGTGCTGTATGAATGGGTAAATAAGGGCACATATTGTAATGTAAAGAGCTTTGAGCATCTTAATGAGATAGAAAAGTGTTACGTAAGTACAGTACATTTACCCTTTATTATTATAAATATTATATATTATAAATATTACTATTATTGTAAATATGTTTATATTTATCTGTGATTTGTCTAAATCAGATCTCTCTTGCAAATGAGTCCTTGTGACTCAATGAGACTAACCTGTATAAATAAAGGTTGAATGAAAATAAAGTCTTTATTGCAAGTCAATAATAAACATCTCCAGAGATTAATAACTGTTCTTTTACAGTCAAACTTGCAATCTGTGTCTCCTGACTTCCTCAAGAAGCCACAAATCCAACTTAAAGTCTGAAATTTAATGAAATGTGAACGGATACTTCAATTCCTGATACTGGAAATAATTCCCAAGAAGCCAGAGCTTTCAGCATCTGGTAAAGCAATCAATAAGTCAATGATATTGATGAAAAACCACATCAGACCCCTAGAGTTATATTATACTCACTGTGCGCAGTGAAGTAAAGGAAAAATTACTTAGCGCTACCTTAAACAACACATTTTGCAACACCTGAGATTAGAAATAGAAACAGAAATGGAGCTCACAGCTGGACAGTGACCCCCGCATGGAGAACACCCTTCAATAACATACTTCTCATAAAAGTTCTGCTCTTAGCCATCTTTAATCTTCAATAAAAACTAACCAAAGCTCTGTTTCAAGATTTGGACAGACATAACACGAGCAAGGAGCAAAGGATGCTTTTAATGCAGGCACAAATGGGAATGTTTGGCAATTTACAGATCTGAAAGTGATGAGCTTGCATTCGTGAGCTCCCTTAAACATTTATGAGTTAAATAATACATTACACATTAGTGGAGTTCTAAAAAGATCAAATTGAAAGGACTCAAGCATATGAGGTCTTGATAAACACGAGCAGAGGTTCAGAGATGAAGGCTTGGTTCTCTAATCATAATTGGTCCCAGTAGATTGCTGGAATAAAAATGGAGTACAAAGTAATGTTGTGCATGGCTCTGGCCTGCTTTGAAAACTCATAATATTCACACTACATTAGATTCTGCATTTGCCTCAGCAGCTGCACACAAAAGCCAGCCGTGAACAAAGACATTCCTTTTGCATTTCAAAAAACCAAGCTGTAACCTCCCCCCATCCATGGAAATCTCCAACTTCCAATCATAATTCAAAACACCATTACTACACTTCTTAATGCGTGGGGAAACAGTAGCAGCTAAATACGTGGTTAGAGGAAAAAAAAAAACATAAATGGAGGAGGGAAATGAAAAAGTAAAAAAAAAAAAAAAAATCTATTTTTTCCATTTCCCATGGACCTGTTTTTAGAGGGTTCTCACAAACCAAGAAGCATTGAAGAAGCAATTAATCAAACATGAATGGCCTATCATAACTATAGCTGATGCATTTCCATAGCAACAGCCTCCAGGCAAAATTGTCACCCTTTAATCCAAGTCACACCATGTTTAATATAAACAAGATGGAGACTAGCAAAGCAAAAGAGTTTGTGGAATAAAAAGCACTGCCGTATTGTGGAAACCTAATGTCAAAGGATATATATATGTATATATATATATGTATATATGTA